GGTCCTGCCCAACGTTCATGTTGGCATGGGGTGCCATGAGGTTCTCCTCAGCCAGCCCTCTTCCTTTAACTACGCAATTTCAACATGTTTGCTGTGAAGCTAAGGATAGTAGCAAAAATGTTCAGTGTGCACTCAACTATAATAATTCAAGAAGACCCACTGGATAGATAGTTCATGTGACAGAACAGACCTTTACCGTCTGCAGTTGGTCCTCCAACCCTCATCCCTGGATTCAGACAGCCACAGCACGAGTATTTCCATAAAATTCCCTCTTACTGAACACGTACAGGCCTTTTTGTTGTTGTTTCCTAACAGCACAGTGTGACGACCACTTGCACAGCCTTTACATTGTGCTGTGTGTCATAAATCATGAGGGGTGGGCGGGGACTTAAAGCATCCAGGAGCATGTGTGCACCTTCTGTTCAAATCCTATACCAGATAATGTAGGCCCTTGAGCATTGAGGGTTTGGGTACCTTCGGGGGTTCATGGAACCAGTTCCCCAAGGATAACAAAGTATATGATGATTGTACTTTAAAATTAAGGTTAGCCGGAGTTCAAGGTTGATGGGAAAAAAATGAAAGTTAACTCTGATAATAATTCCAACAATTATCTCCATAAATAAATACAATCACAAGTTCTTAAACAGCAATTACAAATGACATCAAAACCACAACACAAAAAATAACCATATTCTCCATGTTAAAAATACACACCCAGTATTTCTAGAATGACTAAAACATCTTGCATTAAATACTTTCTCCCAGGGGCCAGAATTTCTGATGTAACAATTACATTCTAACACATTAATGTAACTTCTCATAAAGAGATGAAATTTTAAGAATCTATCCTATACTTTGCAAAGAACACAGAAGTCATCATTTTTTTCTACTTTGTAGACAAATCCCTGGTACATGGCATTCTTAATAAGCTACATGTGGCAAGATCAAAACTGGTAAAATATCACCTGGGGCTTTTCAGGGGTATCTGTCAGTAATCTGTGTTTTTAAGAATAGCTAGAGGAAGCTTCAGGCATTAGTTTATGAAATATGTGCTCAGGACGAGGACACAATACAAGGTGAGATTTGCAGATCACACGTGCTGGCCGTGTACAAGGAGCAATCATCCGTAAATCAGTTCCTGATTTTGAATAGCACAAGGAGAAAGGAGATCGTCAAAGCAGTGACAGGCTTCATGCCCAATCTGTGAACTTTGGAGATGCAATTTGCACAGAGCAGTTGAGAAGCATTTAACCTCAGCCCCAAAGTTTCAGAAAGGAGGAGGTCAAGGAGGGCAGAGTTAAAGCAGGAATAAAGAAGCACTGATGTGATTTTGACAGACAATTACCTGCAAAATGTCCTCAGCCATTGTTGACACTGGCTGTTAGTGTTAAAATACAACCGTCAATTTGGTACCAACTTCCTTCTATATTCAGCTTTTCCTAATGACGGGAAGTCACTGGTTTTCATCTGCATTCTGATTCCCTAACAAACAGAACGCACAGCCACACATAACTATTTCCAGTTTATCCCTGTGAAGAAGAGATCTGGTTCAGCCAGGGTAATGAAATCGCCTGCGGAGGGGCTGCGGATGAACTCACAGCAGCAGGAGCTCACCTGGCGCCCCACAGGGAAGACAGCTACCTGCCAGGCCGTGCCCAGCAGCAAGCTGGGGCAGGCCAAGGGGGGCAGACCAAGGGGGACAGGCCAAGGGGGGCAGACCAAGGGGGACAGGCCCATGGGGACAGGCCAAGGGGACAGGCAGTGCTTTTTTCTGAGCAGTCCCTGCCCTTTCCTTCGCGCCCCCCGCCGCCACGGTGCTTGATGCTATAGTTAAAACAAATCTCAGGAGGAAACAAAGTCGGGGCACCCCTCCCTGTCAGAAGCAGCCACCAGACCCCTTGAGCCTGGTGTCCACACAAGGAAGGCCTTGTCCTTGCCCCAGGTGCCCTCCCCTTTGACCCAAGGCCAGCCCTGCTGAGTGATCAGGGGTCACAGGTGACCATGACTCCATGGGAGCTTCTTGGGGTGGGGAATTGGTTCCCTTTCTTCAGGGATCCCAAGAAGCCCCAGTTCCCTTTGGTCCCCACAGCAGGCAGGAGCCCAGAGGTGGCAGTAGGCGTCAGACCTGAGGGCCTCCAGACAGGCGAGCCTTGGACCAGAGAGGGTGCGATGCTGCAGAGCACAGGCTGTCAGCAGCAGAGCTGGAACAGAAGCCACCAGCACCAGGAGAGCTCCCGGTCACCTGCAGGTCCCGGACAACCCTACTTGTCAGCGCACACCATGTCCCCAGCCAAACCACATCCCTTTGTACCCCAACCTGTTGGTGTGTCCTCCCTGCCCCCAAGCCATGTCATGTCCCCTCGTGTCCCAACCTCTGCCTGCTAGTGTGTCTTCCATGTCCCCAAACACATCATGATCCTAAGCCATGGCATGTCCACTTGTGTCCCCCCAGCCCTCGGTGTGCACCATGTCCCCAAGCCCTTCCATCCCCTTGTCTCCATGTCATCATGTCCCCATACCACAACACATCTCCTGTGTCCCCACGTCCTCAGGTCATATTGTTCATGTTCCTACCCCAGCACTATGGGGACTAGAGTCTCTCAGTAAAAAAGGGCAGCTCCCTGTCTCCCTGCAGAGATGGTCGCCTTCCTCACCAGGGGGAGGCCAGGGTGTGAGCTGGGACTGGTCCTCAGTGGCCAGCAGGGAGGACAGGAAGAGACCTTCACGGTCTTTAAGGTCACAGAGCCCAGTGGTGAGTCCTTGCCAACAAGTGCCAAAAACATCCCGCCAGCAACAGCGCTGTGTCCATCTTGTGGACGAGGCTCACCTTACATGCGATGCCGTCTCCGACTTCCAGTCTGAAGGCCACCAGGGTCAAATGCCCCACAGTCTAAACCCCCGTCTGTGCAGAGGAGGGTGGTGTCCTGACCAGATGACCATGAGGCCATCACCTAAGCACGGGGCTTACTCGGAGGAGGACGGGGAGGCACCTGGCCCTCGAGAACGAGGCGGCGGGCATGGCTGGCGCTCTCTCTTCTCAGGGACTGGAGCGAGGGCCAGGGTCCTCCTGCCTGATGGGCTCAGCCGCCTGGCTTAGCTTGGGTGTCAGGACGCAGCTCCCTCATGCCCCAGGGGGAGCAAGCAGGGCTCTCAGGCAGCCTGCGGTGGAGGGGCTCGTCACCCAGGCCCCCGAGGAGTTGGGAAGAAGAAAGTGCGATTTCCAGGGGAAGCTGGGCTGTGCTGCCCCATCCACAATCCCCATGTTGAATGAAATTTGTTTTCATCACTTCTCCCCAAGAAAAAATGCTCCGCGAACTTTGCAGTTTCCATTACATGAAGTTGAAAGGTAATTCTTTGACAATTAGCAATCTTTTCTTTTGAATCATGAGAATAAAGCCGCCATGCACGCAGCTCTGTCAGCAGGAGAGGGAACTTGTGGGGGGTTTTGACAAAGTGCATAATGAAAGCCAAATGAATCCTGGATTTTCCTCCAAGATGAACTTGAGATAGCTTTGAAATCAGAATTTATTAAGGTGCTCGTGATACTGAAAAGCACAGAATAATAACTGCAGCAGAGTAAAATATATACAATTAGAATCCCCATTTTGAGAGACTTCAATGCAGGTAGCGTTGGTGGCGCTGGGAACCCGAGGTAGTTAAGCAGAGCCTGGAACGTGAGGCTCACGTTCACTAATTGGGTAATGACAGCCGTTGCCGCGACTGTCGGCCTCCCCTGAGCCGCAGAAGTTCCCTTTGCCAAGCATGTAATTTCATTATTAAACACCAAAACACCTCAAAAACGCCTCCAAGCCAGCATTCCACGCTGCACACCCTCCACCGCGTCCGTGAGCGAACACACGGCCCTGCTCTGGCCTCATTCCCACTTTTTTGCCCATTTCCACCAGGCAGGCCCACCCCACCCTGCCCACTGCCCCAGAAGCTGTCAAAGTTCAGCAGCTTAACGCGGCACACCGCGGTCTTCACGTCCATTCCTCCATCCCTCAGTTCTGAGCCAAGAGTGGAGTTTGCTAAGCTGGGAAAGTGCTCGTTCCACGGACCTCAGCAAGAATGAACTCAGCAAAGCCGGCAGCGGCTGAGGGGAGTTTTCCACCCACACGGCATGCCCAGCAGGAGCGACTGACACCGGCCATACCCCCAGCACCCACGCCAAGTTTTCGGCTCAGTCTTCCTCTTTTGTTTGTCCATGGAACTAAATTCAGAGCCAGAAAATGGAACTTAGAACAGCAACGAGGGTGGCTGGCAGGAGCAGGGAGCCCTCGGCAGAAGAAAGCCTGCCTTCTGTGGCTCCCCACGTCCACGGCCGGCCTGGGGCAATCAGGCTCCAGCAGCCTGCTACCTGGGGACAGGACATGACCCTAGAGGAAGCCCCCTTTACAGACTGGCCCCAGCACAGGGCTACGGGCACAGGAATGACGAGGTGGTTTTTATAGTCTGACCTAGGGTGGGACGGCACACATTTTACAATCCCCTGAATGTAACTTTCAGCCAACTTGAGGGAGAATCCAAGTTGCTTTTACCCAAGTAGCAGTTGGTGAGACATCTGTAGGGTCACGTCTACCCCACCTGAATCCCCCCGGCACGTTACCCTGCACACAGAACTTCCAAGCTAAGTTCAGCAAACAGATTTCACCAAAAGAAGCCATCTGTGCCTAGCACCAGCAGGCACCTCCAGGACTGCAGAGCCCAGCTGCAAGGGCAAACGCAGCCCCCGTGGCCAGCAGACACCACAGAACATCCCCTCAAAACATCTTGCCATGTTGGCTTAGCACCTGTGCTTGACCACTTGCGGTCCAGTCCGAGTCCCTGCAGTTCACAGCGAGACACACTCTTCCTCAATGCCCCAGGTCTGGCTCTCTCCCTCCCCTCACCACCACCCCCAGGACCGGGCAGATTAACTGCAAGCGTCCCCTCAGCACTTGGCGCTGCCCTGGCCCAGCCCAAGGATGCCTTCCCGAGACTCCTGGGAGCCGCCAGCCTACCTGCCAGGCTCTGCGTCCAGGCACCGCCCTGGCCCGCCGGACCTCCTGTCCTCAGCAGCGCTCCGCCGCTCCTGCGAACGCCGCCGCGTACCCTGTGGCCACAGGCTGGCTGGCAGCAGCCGCAGCAGCCTTCCCAGCGATGAGCACAGCTTGAGACCATCCACAATTAACCAAATATTGTGTGGCAGCAGCAAATCAACAAGGAAAGCAGCCCAGAGATAAAGCAGAGTGCCTTTCCAAGGGGTGCAGGACGGAGAGCTCCAAATGCTCCACTTCTTCAAGATCCTTCCAGCCAGCCCCTCTGCTATTTTTACTGTACCATAATGCACTAGGTCTGGCTTTTACCCTATTGAAAGAACATGAATATATTATTATCCACACAAAAGAGCAGGTTATTGTTTATGAATTACCAGCCTTCCCAGCAACAAAGGCTATTTTCATAAGAAAACTCAATTTCATTTTAGCTCCAATTTGATTACCAGCTGAAGAAAAGAAGCTCTGCTCCTAACCCTCAAAGGATTTTTATTCATACCATTGAATGGGCTTTATTGCTTCCTTTTCAAAACTGACGTAGAAAGCTTTTAGAGTAAAACATTGACAAAAAATTATTGCGCTGCTATTTTGTGCAATAACAGAGCTGAAGAGGGGCAATGATTTCTCAGTCATCCTTCACTGTACTTCAGGATGGCAGAGGCTGGAATTAATGACAGAGCAGAGAGAGGAGGCAAGCTAAGGTCTCACAATGCACGTCAAATCTAAATGATCACCATACATTGAAAAGCCCCCCAAAAGCCCACAGCTGATTGATTCGTGGCTTTCACAAGGAAGACAGGCTTGAAGAGTTTATTGCTCCACAATTTGCTCGGAATTATCATAAAAATGAATGTGGAGGCTGAATGTCACCCAGCTCGCTCCAAAAACACACACCGAGGACAAAGTTCACCCAGGAATTCTCACTGCACACCGCACCCGGCAGAGCCAGGGCTGGGTGGCCGCTGCCCGGCTTCACGGTCACACACCAGGCTCACTGGGCTCTGAGACTCCTTCCCGCCCACGGGAACGTGGTGGGTCATCCCATTTTTAAAGTGAGAAAAGCCCGCAGCTGTGAACCATAGCCCCCACGGCCACTCACCCTGGCACCTGGGGGTGCCTCAGGCTGGTTGGCCTTCCCAGGGGACAGCGTGGGGAGGGTGGAAGTGGCCCAGGTGGCTGTTGTGCAAATGCTCTCGCGTGCACGCCACTCCTCCTTCCATTACAGTTTTGAGCAATAACGGCTCAGCTCCCGGGTTGCCAGAGAAACCTCCGCTTGGCATTGTGTAAATAGGGTCTGCAGCACAATGACACGGTGCTCGGTGGCCTGGCCTCTCCACGTTCCAGCCCAGGCCAGAGGGGCCTGTCGGCCAGCCTGGGCTGAGGACCCTCAATCCATGTGGCAGGCGCCAGTCCTCCCCGACTCCTTTATGAGGCACGGTTGGGACCCATAAGTGAAGAATTTGTGATCTTTGGGGTTCCATGGTAACGCTTGTATTCAAAAACAAACTCACCGAGCAAAGCTGGAAGCAGCGGTGCCTTCACTCAGGGCCGGACAGACGGCCTCGCACGCAGGCTCTCCTTCTGCCAGGTGTCTGCCGCCCCTCGCTCCAAACGAGCCTCGCTGCGTGGAGGTGAGCGCTGCTGTCCAGGCTGTGCTGGCGCCGAGTGGCTGCATGTTTCTCTCAGGAGACCACACACCTCAGGCCAGGCTGGCCCAGCTCAAGCCTATGCCTGCCTCAGCCCCAACAGCTGTGCACGGGGCCCAGGTGCACCGAGGCTCCTGGGGGTCTCAGGTGGCCACGTGCAGCTCAGGCATGCTCAGTGAGCAGGTATGCTCGTGGCTCAGCGGCCCCTGAAGACAACAAGTCCCAGCTGGGACACCATCTTTGGTGGCCTCCCCTTGCCATAGCTCAGGAGCCCCTGCTTCATAACCACTAGCTCCAGGTCTCAACAACGTCACCACTCATGTTTTTTAAAAGGTAAGTTCCATCAAGCATCAGGATGCTCTGGATATTCCAGGGCTCAGCTCCTGCATGACCACTCAATCCAACGGCTAGTGTGTAGTTCACCCAGGGTCCTGGTGCTCCCCACACCCAACCGGTCACTCAACAGCAGACAGGCCTAGGGTGCAGTACTCAGGGCACTGATGTTCTTACGTCACCGTCAGAACTGAGCTAGCAAACGCCAGCCTTTGTCCAGGAGAGTCCCTTGTCACAGTGTTTGTGCCAACTGCTGCCGGTTAGCCTTGACTCCTACCTCAAGGCACCCTGTGATACGTTAACTCAGCTCAGAGCTCAAAGCACCGTAGGCCTCATCTGAATGAAGTCATGTTGTACAGACTTGCTCCACGAGGCACACCCTGGCCTTGCCCTCAGGACACAGGAGGGTGCCTCAGCACTGTGGTCGGGGCCACCTGATGTAGGAAATCAGCAAAAAGCACAAAAAAATGAAAAAGAAAAAATGTGGCACTCAGGAGACTGAAAAGGACATGGCTTCTAGAGCTGAAGGCTACAGCGTCCCATGTCACACCAGCTGGACAGACATGGCCAGCAGTCCCTGTTGTGCACCCTGGGCACACCTGCAAGCAGACACAGGAGCTCTGCAAGAATTAAATCTGAGGTCACAAATGACTGCTGGCAATTAGGCAGAAGCACAAATACAGGAACCACCAATAGCCAGGGTCAGCCTTTGTAAACATAAGGCTGTGCTGGACTGAAGTCCAGCTGAAGCCATAAGTCCAGGGTGTGCATTGAAAGGTAGGTAGGGTCAGAGGTCATAGGTGTGTCCTGACCCCCCGGGTCTGAGGCTGTACAGAGGAGGATGTCCACTGCGCACAGACACAGTGAGAAGGTGGCCGTCTTCAGGCCAGGATGAGACCATGCCAGGAGCCCATCAGCTGGCAAGATGACCATGGACACCCAACCTCCCAAACTGTGAGAAAACAGACATCCCCGGGCAAACCCCTCGGGTGAGGCATGGTTCTTGCAGCCCTAGAGCACCAGGTGCAGCAGAGGTGAGGCCCTGAGGGCAGGGGCACCCGCTGGCACACACCGGGGTGCACGGCCTGCGTTTGGGGACGAGGTGAGGTGCTCGGCTGAACAAAGGGTGGGTGGACCATGGGAAGGGAAGCCCACTCCCCAGGCTGGGAACAGAGTCTGACCAGAACAGCATCCATCTCAGGTAGCTGAGGTCAGCTGCCGGTGTCACTGGGGCCGGGAGGTGGGGACCAGGGGCCCACCCTGGGGGACTATTCCCAGCACGTGCCCTGGGACCTGAGTTTGCAGTCACGGGGCACGTCTGAGCACTAGAGGCCCCGGGGCTGGCCTGTGTGGGCAGGGTTGGACCTTGTGGTAGAGCCCTGCAAGTCTGCTTTTCTAAATCATTGCCCTAGAGGGTCCTTAAGAGGGTATCCTCAGCCTTTAAAGGTCAGAACTTCATGCGACAAAAGAATGCACAAAATAGGAAAAATGCTCCCCCGCAATTACTTTATGCTAAAGATAGATGCAAAAGGAACCTCGAAAACGGAGCGGACATTTTCTCCAGGTGGGTTTCCAGAGCCCAAAGAGGCTTCAAAATGGTTGGGTTGTAGGGTCGCGGGCCAGGGTCTGTGTGAGACCATGTGCTTCTGCCCTCCCCAGCTGCCCGGGCAGGAGGGCCGGCCCCACCCCGCAGCCGTGGGCTCCCGGCTCAGTGAAAATCCAGGTGGCAGGAGCTCTGCTCGCCTCCAGGCTCCGACACCCCAGGAAGGCAGTGAGCCGGTTTCCACCTCCTCAGGAGACGTCATCTAGAGCCCTTCTGGGTTCTAGCAGAACGTTCTGATCTTGGCCAAGTGAAACTGCTCTGGTGGTGGGCAGGAATGGCCCCCGTCTCCTCATGCCGTTCCCGACAGAGGACAGAGTCTCTCTGTACCTGCCGCCCTGTTCAGACACTGACCAGGAGTCAGTGCGGGCCCCATGGGCTCAGGGGCTCACCCACAGCACGCTCCCATCCCAGAGTCCAGCCTCGAGTTCCGGATCCCAGACCACCAGCTCTTCTTCCAGTCTCGGGTTCAGGGCCTCCACTGACCCTTCAGGTCAGCAGCTGAGGAATGACTAGGGACTTGGGGACGCTACATTAGGGCTGATATTCAAGAGTCCTGGTGGGCACATGGGGGTGCATGGGCTGTAAGTTGGCCTGCAGGGGTGGGAGGTGCGCTCCTCGGCATGACCCCCACCTGGCAGTGTTCCCCATGGGAAGCTCTGACCCCACTGCTGCAAGGGTTCCATGATTGTGGGTGTCCAGCAGCAGTCCTGGTCAACTGAGGCGCAGGCAAGCCATTCCAAGGACTCCCTCATCCATACAGGGGCTGCAGCGGGACCTGTCCTTGACCAGCAGCCTCTCTGTGCTTCAGGCAGCATCACCTGCTTCTGGCCAGGCGGCAGGTCTTTCCCCTCGCAGGGTGTATGGCGGAGGAGCCGGGCCACAGGACTGCAGCTCGTCCTGAACCAGGCCGGCCACTCTCAAGGGTGAAATTATGCCGGGGGTCTCCCACAGGCTCGCAAACCTCCCGGCCCAGGGACGGATTCCCACTGGGCTCCTTCAGTTCCCTACTATTTGCATCTGCTTCCACAGCAGCAGTTGGCTTCTCCACCACCCTGCAGCCTCCCACTCCTGGGGCCTCCGCCGACCTCCAGAAACATGAATGTCAGGCCCTATCACTTGGTGGCCGGTGTCACATCCAAGCCTTAGAATCTCCTTACGTCAGGGGACAAATCAATCGGAAGGTGATCACTTAGTACATCAGGTTCTCTCACTAAGGAAATGAGAATAGAAAAATCTAGAAAAGAAATATAAAGATGACAACATGCACACAGACAGACAGACACACATACACACAGCGTAGGAAGTGCCAGGATGGCTTCTGTGCTCCCAGCCAAAGCAAGGAAATAGATACTGCTGAGGGTTTCAATGGGACGCCATGGTTTCAGGGTCCAATGGCAGAAGCACAAAGTCCATTCACAGTGTAGAAGAGTAGCTGTCGGTGGGAGGAGGAGTCTAAGAAAAGGGGAGTGAAGAGGAGGGAGGAGGAGCTGGCTCAGGAAGGCCACGCCAAGTGCCCCGTGGAGGTGCAGATGCTGCCGGAGGAGAGGTCTGCGTCCTGCCAGGACCCACAGCGCTGACCATGCAGCGGGTCCGGCAGGCTGGGGGAGGCGGCCTCTGCACCCCGGAGCTCCTCCTCACTGAAGCCTTCCACGCCAGGCTCCCTCCCTGCCGTCCACTCAGTGGGGTCACAGTGGGTTCTGCAGAGCCCTCAGCTGATCCACAAGACTGTACCCACTGTGTGACGAGGAACTAGCAGCCCCAGGCCCCCTGGCTGCCTGCACTTCAGTGGCCTGACTCCATCTCACCTCCCAGCTCCAGGTCCCCTAAGAAGCCCCCTCTGGCCCCAGGAAGTGTGAGGGGCTCCTCTGGAGCTATGGGGACCACGGCCT